AACAAAAAAAGGGCGCCATATCGCACCCACAGAAAACACAAACACTTCCATGTCAAGATGCATCTCATATGTCCTTTTCTATACCCACAAACGGTTAAAGGCAAGCCCTAGCAAGAGGCTTGCATATACCGTTTTCAAATCTAAAACGTAGAACATAATCCCTTCGGGGAAAGTGTAATTAATAAGTTAACGAATAAGGCAAACTCGGCTAACCCAAACCCTACAAAAAGGACCAAAAAAAAGGGACGACCACAACAAAATTCTAACCCAGCCAACTCCGTGGTTGGCGATTTTTGTTTCCCGCTCGATCTCGATGGTCGCCAAGTTAGTTGTGGAGTACATGTATGTAGTCAATAGCATCCCATCATTATATCTGATGCATCATCTAATACAACGCTAGTAGTTGCTAGCTCTACGATTGTACCAGTAGGGGCATCTCTCTGCTTGCTGTGTCAAAGATGTTATCGCTCAGGCAATCCATTCGTCGTAGAATTCGATTTCCTGCTGTCAGCTGTGCTACCCCCGGCAATCCATCTGTACATTTCGGCTTTGGATGCCACTACTACCGTCCATCATTGGTGGCGACGGTTGATCCTACCAGTGGTCTTCATCATGAACAATTCTTGGGTAGCCGCTACTTTGCCTCATCGGCAAGACCTCAAACCTTGGAGGATCGATCCAATGATAATACCCGTCAGCAAAACGAGGGCCTTTCCATTGAGGAACAGTACAGCCGCAAGACACCATTGGAACATGTCCTCTTGAGGCCGGGCATGTACGTGGGAGCCTGTGAACGCCTTCCTCCAAATACCTGTTGGGTATTATCCGAGCCATTTCCGCTACCAGGTGTGCAACCTGATAATCCAGGCACAACTACTGGTATCACTAATCCAACAACCACCAATGACGACGGCCTTCGGATGGTCCAAAAGGAATATGGTACTGTGCCGGCACTCATCAAACTATTTGACGAAATTCTCGTCAATGCATCCGATAATCGACTCCGAGATCCACAGAATTGCACTCGACTCGATATCACCATTGATCCGGGGTCATCTGCTGCTCCTCACGACGATACCGGTACTGTTCAAACCGTGAGAATCAATCCACCCAAAATCCAAGTATACAACAATGGCAAAGGCATTCCCATTCAAATACACAAGGAAGAAAACATGTACGTTCCCGAACTCATCTTTGGAAACCTCATGAGTGGAAGCAACTTTGTCGAATCGGAAAAGAGACTCACTGGAGGCAAGAATGGCTTTGGAGCCAAGTTGACCAACATCTTTTCCAAGTCCTTCACCGTCGAGACACTTGATTCTCAGACACAACAACGATACACACAAACGTGGTATAACAACATGACCGAATGCGGTCAACCGGTAATTGAGCATGCCAGTGATGAGGGACAAGAAGATTACACCTGCATTACCTTTGAACCCGATATCCCTCGATTGACGGGCAACCCACACCAACATGTGATTCGTCCCGAAGATTATCACATCATGTGTCGACGAGTGGTGGATATTGCGGGATGTCATGATGGTTTGCACGTTACCTTGAATGGGCGAGACGTGGCGGTCACCTCCTTTGACCAATACAGTCAACTGTATCGTAGCGATGCGGCTCCACCCATGTGCTTTGAGGCCGTCAATCCACGATGGCACGTTGGTGTGGGATTGTCCGAAACGGGAAGCTTCGAATCGGTCTCGTTTGTCAATGGCATGTCCACGCATCGAGGTGGGACGCATGTCAATGCCATTGCCAATCAAATCATTAAACGAATTCAAGACGAACTCGACAAAAAGTATGATGCCGATTTGGTGGCCGCCACGAGTCCCAGTCTGATTCGACGTAGTTTGTTCCTGTCGGTTCGATCTTTGATTGAAAACCCAGACTTTGATTCGCAAATGAAAGAATACCTCACGTCCAGTCCGGACAAGTTCGGGAGCTCCTGTCTTTTGAGCAAACAGTTTCTCAACACGCAACTGGTAAAACCACTCGAAGACGGTGGACCGGGGATAATAGAGGAAGTTGTCAATGTGGCCAAGGGTCGTCAACAGGCACAGCTCCTCAAAGAAGTGGGAGGGAAAAAGACCAGGCGACAATTGCTTTCGATTCCCAAGCTAGAGGATGCACACAAGGCGGGGTCTCACGATGCCGGGAAGGATTGTACGCTGATACTGACAGAAGGAGATTCCGCCAAAGCATTGGCAGTTGCTGGCTTCGAAGTGGTTGGTCGTAGCCACTTTGGAGTGTTTCCTCTTCGAGGAAAGTTCTTGAATGTACGTGACGCGAAACTGTCACAACTCACAACGAATGCCGAGGTGAAGGCGTTGGTGGCAATTCTTGGTTTGGATTTTGATAAGGAGTATGACACAATCGAAGAGAGAGCAGAGCTCCGATATGGACACGTCATGCTTATGACAGATCAAGATACCGATGGTTCCCATATCAAAGGACTTGTCATCAACTTTTTTAGATACTTTTGGCCAAAGCTCTTGAAACCACCCGTGGACCGTCCCACGGACGCTAGCGACAAGACATTTCTGTCATCCTTTATTACACCGTTGCTAAAAGCTACAAAGAAGGGAAAGCGGAAAGAAGTTTTACCTTTCTATTCGATGGCCGAATACGACAAGTGGCGGAACTCATTGTCGGAATCGGAATTCAAGACTTGGAACGTAAAGTACTTCAAAGGTCTTGGAACTTCAACGGCAAGCGAAGCGAAGGAATACTTCACAGCGTACAAAGATCACTTTCGACCGTTTCACTGGCATTCGGACAGCGACGGGGCGATGCTGGACATGGTTTTTGATAAGAGTGGCGCGGCAGAACGTCGGGACTGGATCAATGAAACCTACGACCCGCAGAGCACGGTCGTCGTTTCTCCGGAGGCTGGGAACGCCGTCTCCTACGAAGACTTTGTCAACAAGGAAATGATCCACTTTTCCAATGCCGACAATGTTCGTAGCTTGCCCAGCGTGATTGACGGATTAAAGCCGTCGCAAAGAAAGGTTCTCTATGCAGCTTTCAAACGAAAGCTCAAGAATGAGATCAAAGTGGCGCAACTTAGTGGATACTGCGCAGAACATACAGCATACCATCATGGGGAAGCGTCTTTGCAGTCAACAAGTACGTATCAACATGGGCCAAATCGTGAAGTTTCAGGAAACTGTTGTTGCTGACACTGACAGCTTCCTTTTCCTACTTCCACAGTCACTGGCCTTGCGCAAGACTTTGTCGGCTCTAATAATATCAATCTATTACAGCCATCGGGGCAGTTCGGGACTCGCTTGACCGGTGGTAAGGATGCAGCATCACCAAGGTACATCTTCACTTGCCTGAGCGAAATCGCTAGGTACCTCTTCCCCGAGGAAGACGACGTATTGCTTCGGTACCTGGAAGATGACGGACAAATGATTGAGCCACAATTCTATTGCCCCATCCTGCCAATGTTGCTCGTTAATGGAAGCCAAGGGATTGGAACTGGATGGAGCACCCAGATTCCATCTTTTGATCCTGCTGATGTGTTAGAATATATCAGGGCAAGACTCGACGGCTTGGATGATCTTCCAGCTATCAGACCATATGCCAAAGGTTTCGAGGGAAGGATCGAACCTTTGAGTGATGGCCGGGGTTTTGCAACTTACGGGCGAGCGAAGAAGGCATCGGCATCTTCTATCTTGATTGATGAGCTACCACTGAAATGCTGGACTAGCCAATACAAGCGGAGACTTATTAAGATGCGCAACCGAGGCGAGATCGGCAGCTTTGTAGAGAACCACACAACAACTAAAGTCTCTTTCAAGGTGAAGATGAAGCCGACAAAGTTGGAACGATTGATGAAAAATAGTGGGGGGCTGGAAACTGCGTTCAAGCTAAAGGCCAACCTGGCCACGACCAACATGAATGCATTTGATGCAACGGGCGCCATCAGAAAGTTCGAGTCTGCAGAAGAAATAGCAGAATGCTACTTCCCGGTGAGATTGGATCTATACAGAGACAGAAAGTCCATACTGGAGTCCGAGACGAAGCATGCCTCGGCTTTGATGACAAATAAGGCAAGGTTCATCCGTGCTGTTGTGACTGGCGAAATCGATCTCAGGCAGTCGAAAGAGGTCGTGATAGAGCAGATACGTAAGTTGGGTTTGTCCACGGCGTCTGAACTATCAGCTGTGAGACACGATAACATTCTTGCCATGAGGCTGCGAGACGACCAAGATGCGGGTGACGATGCTGCTACTTTACATGAATCACCCCAAAAGGAGCGTGATTATGACTACTTGCTAAGCATGCCTTTGTCAAGTTTGACTAAGGAAAAAATTTCCTCCCTAGAAGAAGACGCAGCAGCAAAGCAAGCCTACCTGGAGGAAATAATGAAAAAGACACCCGAGGATCTCTGGAGGGAAGATTTGGACAAACTGGCTCCTCATATCCATAAATTGAAGGCCCTTACAGCCTAGACGTGAGCTTGCCGAAGAGCTTGAAATTTCTCGATCAATGTCTCGACTTGCTCATCGGTCGCATTGGCCCAGTCAACTGCAAAGTAGTATCCCAAAGCCTGTTTCACTGCAGCCGGCATGCTTTCAACTTCTGCTTTGAGCAGATCCAGACTTGCTTCTATTGGTTTTCCCGCCTTCAAGGATGCCACAATCTGCTTGGCTCTTCGAACAATCCTCCTGTCCAACCCTGCCATCCTTGCACAAATGATTCCTGCAGAGGAGGAAGCAACTCCCTCTTGCAGTCGAAACAGGGGAGTAGCCATGTCTTCCGTGTCGTCGGGAATGTGAACTGCCATTTGCATTGCGTTGATTCCGTTTTGGCCGTCTGTTAGATAGCCCCGAGAGAACATCTCAAGAAAGTGGGTAGTGCAGACAACAGCAACATCCTTCGACGCAAACCACCGAAGCGCAGACACTAGAAGCGCAATTCCAGAGGATGGACTTGTCCCTGCTCGGTTTGTTTGTGACAGCAAGGTGAGGCGGAGTGACCCTGTCCAAGCCATAATGATCCGATCTCATACCTTTTCCGAACTCGTCCAAAATTACGAGCGATCTGGGAGTGCATCTGCTAAAGATGCCTCCCATCTGTGTCAGGTCGAGCTGAAAGCTGCTTTGAGGAACAGCACAAGTTTCAGTGCGAGCGAACTGCGTAAATATCTGGTCAACGATGCTCAGCACACATTCGTCACACGGAACGAATGATCCGATGTGGGCCATGTAGACCAAAGCCCCAACCTTCCGTGCATAGCAGCTTTTTCCTACATGGCAGCGATGTCAACGCAGAGGTCAGAAAAGATAGTGCAAACACCAATTACATAGGGCCACATTACTGCGGACCTACCAGAGAAGTTTGGTCCCGTGAGAACATTGACAAGCTTCTTGTCGTCGATTTCGACATGGTTGGCAACAAACGGTCTTCCTTCCACAAGGATTTCTTGAAGAGGGTGTCGTCCTCTTTTGATTTTGACTATTGTCGTTGAGTGAGAGTCTGGAGGCGGAGGAGGAAGAATGGTTGGACGGATATAGTTTCGCTCTCGAGCGACGAAAGCAAATGCGAGTATGCAATCCATTTCAGAAAGTGCCAAGAAGGTTTCCCTGAGTTCTGTTTCCTGTTCGAGAATTTCATCTTCCAGATCTGAAATGATCATTGCCTCTGTGTCCTTGATCCACCCGTCGAGATCTCCGAATGTCTGATTGAGGATCGCTGTATCGTCGTTGTTGAAATAGTACATTGCATCTTTGCCGAATTGGTACTTGAAATCGGAAGGGAGCGCTTCGCTGAACATGCCTGTGGCTGGATCGATTGCAAACTGTTGTGTCATGCCCACCAGGAATCCAACCTGAAGGCAGACGAAGGATTCATTCAATCGCAAAAGTAGGATAAATAAGAGTTCGCCAGAGTGCCAAACTACAGTAGCTTTAAACAAAGATGAGACCAACCTGTGGGTAAAACAGAACGATGAGGTGACCAAGCTGCGGATGCTTTTGCATGACCTGATTTCGAGCTTCTAGCAATATTCCTAACATTGGTAGTAATGTCAAGTGTGCAAAGGGGTCCATCATCAAGTTAATGAAGACATGGCGGTTGACAAACTATTCTTGCCATGCGACGTACCTGGCAGTTTATCGTATTCCTCCTTTCTGGCATCTAGCTCTTGGTGAAAACCCGTGTTGATGCAAACGGAGCCGCATTCATAGGTGGATTCTTCGTCCACAACGGAGCAAATATGTTCCTGCAGGCTGGTCAAGACTTGAACATTGCAACGTTCCAGGATGTGTTGCACAAAGAAAATGTACCGCCCCGCCTTGTGTCGACGATACATGGCAGCTTCACTTGCTGCGGCAGTCTCGTCATCGGGCATTGCAGCCTGAAGGCTTCCAATAATTTCGTTGGACAAGACACCGCAAATCTCGTTTGCAGCCGACAGGGTCCGAGTCAGCTTGACAAAATCAACGGGTAGAGTGGCACACTTCTTGAGTCGTTGCAAGATCTGGTTGATGGGAGCTGCCAAATTAGTGGGCAGGAATGATCGTGTGATCGTATGAGTCGGTACTCTGCAACGAGGTCGACAGCATAGGTGCAGCCTCAGGCAAACTCACCAATTTCATTGAGGAGGTTGCTCATCAAGCCCATTAGGCTTTCCGAATCGATCATTGTAGCGTCCATAAAGAGCTCGACACCGTCTTGGCGCATGAGGATTTCGTCGCGATTCAAGAGCGGCTTGAGCATCCAATTTCGTAGCATTTGCCGTCCTCCTTTGGAACAGGTCCGGTCGAGTAGCGAAAAGATACTCGATCCTTCCTTGCTGTTGCCGCGTCCCTTGGCTGCCATGAGAGGATGATGTTCCGTGGCAAAGATGTGCAATGCCTCGATGGCGCCTTCTCCGAGAATCATAAACTTGGAGGTTTGTGCGTGGGTAATGTTGGCCACGGTGACTGTCTCGTCGGCTTCCGTTCGGAATATTGTGCCCTGGAGGAACGAGAGCAAGGCTCCGATGCACTTGACCGTGATTTCGGAATTGAAGTTGATCAAGGTGCCGAGCTGGTGATAGCTGGAGACGGGGAACACGCGTTGGTTGTCCGAGTTGTAATAGGGAAGATTTCCGTCTTGATACAGTGGATCGTAGTACTGACCCGCAGCGCCTTCTTGTGTCTTTCGAAGGAGGGACAAGACTCGAAGCTTTTGTGAGATGAGCGTCATGCAGGTTCGACTATCAAAGGCTCCCGATTTGAGTACGCGATAAGGAATGGACCGACTAGCCAGCGGTGTCACGTTGTTTTCTTCCTCTTCTTCGCCGTCGAGATCGAGCTGTGACAGTGGCCGAGTGAGAGCCTCGAGAAAACTTTCGTTGCTGACGACTTTGCTGCTCACCAACAAGAGATTGGGTCGCAGCAGGGCAAAGTACTTCTCGGCCACGACTCCGAAGTCTTTCCCGCTGCACACGCTCTCCTCCAGAATGATTTCATTCGAGTCTTCATTGTACGTGGCAAAGCAAACTCGCGGTCCAAGTTCGACCACACAGGTACACACCATGGCGGGTTCCAACGGTGGGGCATTGTGGTTGTTGTTGAGTCTTCCAGTAGACGCATCATCATCATCACCACCGCGATCTTCTCGTTCATGACGGGATTCGTCGTTCTCGTCGTTCATCGCCTGAGAACGCCCTCCCGAAGGAGATCCCTGGCTACTACTCATCCTTCTTTCCGTTCTGGAAAACCAAGCTGTGCAACAGAGAACGAAGGTATGATACATGTACCGTACCGTCAACACAAGAAATGTGTCCCTTCGAAGTTGTCGCGTTGTGGTTGTGCGAGTCGAATTTTTAAATTAAAGCCGGTGAAGCTGCTTACCGGTAGGACAAAACTGCTCTTAGACCTAAAAGTCCGTGGTGGACCCATGGCCTTGGGGTGCAGCCGCACCGCGACAGCGGGTCAACAGCACCACAATGTAGCAGGCCACCAGGTGGCACTTAAATAAAAAATACCTCTGCTTAATAATTTAGCCACCACCAATGAGTGGCGAATACGGTATACGGTAAACGATGTGAACGGTGTAACACCGATTACACAAGGTCAACCGTATACCGTTTCAACCATATACCGTTTACCAAAGAAAATTCTATATCGTTTACCGTATATTGTTTAGATTCTTTTGTTTCCTGAGTACCACCGTTTACCGTTTACCGTAGAAAAATTTTGGTCATTATCTAAGTCATTGTGTCCATGTACAACAGCAGCATCATCACAAGTCAGCATCATATCAACAAAGCAAACAGATCAACAATGGCTGAATACTTTGAAAACCTACATAATCTTTCCAACTTTGACTGCACTTCAGCTATCTTGAAACCAACTGAAGTGATATTGAAGGTTGCTACTTCTCTTCAAGATGATAGAGAGATAGAAGTCAATCTTATGGATCCACTGGAACATACAGAGAGGAAGACTGATGGATACATATACAACTTGAAGTCTTCACTCATCAATGTATATTGGCTTCCCAGTAAATTCAACAGCTGCAGCAGTAACTTTATTAAGAATAAAGAACAAAGGATGGGATAAGAAATCATCAGAATTGTATGTCCCAGACACAGGTACTACGCTCCTACGGTACGTACAATATACCGTTTACCGCCTATAATATATTCATATAATACATACAATATACCGTTTACCGCATGTATAACTCTGCTAACATATACATTGTCTTCACAATATACCGTTTACGGTACACGTTCTATACCTCACAGGAGTGTGATGACAGCAAGAGAAAAACAACACAGCTACCTATCAGAGGTGAAGGTATCACGTGTCCTTTCTACTTTCAGGTTATTTTCAGCGAATTAAAAAACCCGCTGGTACCTTCCTATGAACCAAGCAGGGAAAGCAACTCATTGTGGCCATCCCATGCTGGATCCTGATCAAATATTGCTACAGCGATCTCACCAAGGCAAAGATGTCATGGAACTGGCAGAGAGTCTTTTGAAGGTGCACCTATCTCCTTCAACCATACAGATGTTGGTGTACAACAAAACTGGTGCCCAAATCAATGCCAATCAGCTGAAATCACTGAGAAGATCATTGCGCGTAACAGTAGTATTATCATAGTAAGCTGATCTTCTTTATCTCTAAAGAGAATGTGCATTGGAGTTTGCTTTTCCATGGCATCCACAAATGCTTTCTTTGGAATACTTTCGTAGCTTGGATAGATGCATATGGGTAAGGTTCAAGAAGAGGAGTCTCATTGATCTTGGTTTCCTTCTCCTCTGTCTCATCTGCTGTGACTTTGGGTTTCCCCTTGCGTTGTTTCTTCTTTGGAGGCATTGAGGCGGGCGGATACCGTATACCGTAAAATTGTAAAACCGTAAACCGTAAACCGTAAATTGTAAGTGGTCAACAACGGATGGACGGTAAACTGTAAGCAGTAAACTGTGGGTATTGTAAACCGTAAATGGTACAGCCGGGATTTTTGATCTGAGAATATGCCGTATGTACGGTAAACCGTAAACGGTACATACAGGATTTTTTATCAGACAGTATGCGGTATGTGCAGTATACAGCAAGGATCAGATGTTGACTTTAACAGTGTAAAGCCCTCTGAAATAAGCATCTTCCTTTTGTAGAATATTAGTAGAGGGTATTATGACCACTAGTAATTACAAGGAGGGGAGTGTGGTTGCCTTCTAGGAGGAAGCAAGGGAGTGGCAACAACAAGAGCAATATAACGTTGTTGTGTTGTGTGTTGTTGTTGTTGTTTGGTTGATTGTTTGTGTTGTTGTTGTTGTTGTTGTTGTTGTTGTTGTTGTTGTTGTTGTTGTTGTTGTTGTTGTTGTTGTTGTTGTTGTTGTTGTTGTTGTTGTGTTGTTTTGTTGTTGTTGTTGTTGTTGTTGTTGTTGTTGTTGTGTTGTTGTGTGTTGTTGTTGTTGTTGTTGTTGTTGTTGTTGTTGTGTTGTGTTGTTGTTGTTGTGTTGTGTTTGTTGTTTTGTTGTGTTGTTGTTGTTGTTGTTGTTGTTGTTGTTGTTGGTTGCTTGTTGTTGTTGTTGGTTGTTGTTGTTGTTGTTGTTGTTGTTGTTTGTTGTTGTTTTGTTGTTGTTGTTTGTTGTTTGTTTGTTGTTTTGTTGTTGTTGTGTTGTTTTGTGTTTGTTGTTGTTGTGTTGTTTGTTGTTGTTGTTTGTGACTTGTGATTTTTGGGAACATTGTTCCCAAAAATGAATTCCTGGCGTCAGTACCTCCCGTGATGGCGGGGTAGGGTCATTTCCTGCTTGGTTAAAGTTTGCAGGGTTTCGCCCGAACCGGTTCCAGGTGTGATTACGAAGGTAATATCTCGTGTTACAGTTGTTGCTGGGATGCTGAAGAGCTTTGGGTCTGTGGTCTTACGAACGATTAATTAGTAACTTAACCCTCGGGACAAATGGAATTACGAAGGTTGTGCTTCGTGTTACAAAGTACCGAGTCTGTGCGTTGGCTTTAGAAAGTCTCTGTTATGAAAAATATCTCGTGGTTACCATACGGCACTTGCACTACGCTAAAACTAGTGTAAAGATCTTTCGAGTTGTTTTTGATGTTTGAGAGAATGAAAGTTATGGCGAGAGATTAGAAAGCTATGAAAACTAATCACGAGAGAGATCTCATCATCAAGGGATCGTAGAAATTGGCTTCCCGTCCCCGCGGGAGACTTAAAGTGGGATAGAGTAGTGGTGGGTAGTAATCCTGTTCTCACGATCCTAAAACGTAAAGCGCTGGAAGGTTTGTCTAGCCCGGATCGTAGTAGGTGGAAGTACTCCACGCTGGCTTAAATATCTTTTAGAGCGATGTTTCATCATTAACCTAGTGACTAGACGCGGTCATGAGAACCCTTGTCTCAAAGATTATTCACAAGAGACCTCAGTCATGAGTTCAACTCAAACCCTATACTAGGATCGAGTGGAATAAGGCTAAGGAGCGTGTATTGCATTCGCCCCCTGACAAGGGTCACAGAAGGGCGACAGCAGTCGGAAATGAGAACATATGATTTTAAAGTGCGGGGCACTCTCTGAGATTTGGATGTAGACTTGTGCGTCGCACGATGGTAATCCTACAAGGGGATCAGGCCTTGTATGGGGTGATATACCTTATGTTCCAAGTCTGGTAGACTGGCCGCCTGTGGGCGGTAGCAAGTGTTGAGCCGTACAGTGCCATTGTCATTGACTCGGTTCTATAGTGTAAGGACTTTGTACTTTGGCTGACCGTACTTTGCGGTGCTGATACTGTTGAAAACTCACAGTATCGTTGACATTGTATTGATGAGGGACACGCGTCCTTTCCCTCTGTGTTATCGTTCGCGTTTAATTACTTCCAGTTTGCTTCGAACGGACGTTGTGAAGTCACGGATGACCTGTGCGGGCGTGCGCGCATGGTAAATCGGGCGTTCATTCAAAGCGAACCGCCGTAGACCTCATCCCAGGATCATTCACGAGTTCGTCTTGGCACTTGATGTTTTTGAACAGCGTTCAATGTCTATTTGATGACACGTCCGACATATAGGCTTGAGTGGTTACGCGTAGGTATGAACTTGTGACGAAGTACCATATTCATCCGGAGTGTCTTATGACCTCTGCGCGGAACCATCGGTCCTCTATCCATGTACTAGAGGCATGATCCGAGGTAAGCCGTGTCAGGAACGATGGCTAACTCTGTCTGCTGCCTTGGAGCAGAACTCTGCAATCTCGAACCAGTTCCGGATAACTTGTCAGAGCAAGGTGAACTCAGATCCCCGACGTTGTAAGGACCTATTCAGTACAATACATAGTCCTTCCCAAGGATCTCCTCTGCAATTTTTGGAGGCATCAATCCCAGCTACGCGTCTTGGGTTTGTTATCGGTCAGCTTTGGCATCGCTTACATACGCCTGCACTAGTTGCGCAGTCCTTTCAGGTGTAGTGTTGGCTGAAGTTTAGTTCTGTGCGAGTCTCGCAGGATGCATCAGCACACCA